GTCCAGGTAGGCGCCCGCGCTGGAGGGGAGTCGCAGACTGGCCCGTTTCTGAAGCCAGGCCCGGCCGTCGGGGAAGCCAGGCCCTTTCGCGGCTTCCGTTGCTGCCAGACACAGCACATGAAGGGCTGGGGTCGCGTGGTGACCCCCTGGGGCTCTCGTCCCCATGTCCAGCTGTCCTAGACCCAGACTGGCACTTACCCCTCCCTGCCGACAGGCAAAGCCAGTGTACGGACAGTGACAAGGAAAGTCAAACTTCCGGTCTCAGGTAAATCCCCACGTCCCCACGGTGACTGTGACCAGGCCACCGCTGCAGCTCCCAGGCAGAGCCAGAGTCCTCGTGCGGTCCAAGGGCAAGGAGAGAGTTTGTCCTCTGACCACTTGACCACTGGGGAGACCTGTTTGGCCAAGTAGAGGCTGCGACGGGCACACCTGGTCCGGGCCTCTGACGCCCAGCAGGCGGCGTCCCGGCTCCTGCTCCCCGGAGGGCTCCGAGGTGCCTGCAGTGAGAGGACTTGCCGGGCCATCTGCCCCTCGGGGGCCCAGGAACATGGCGCTGGACAGTGGTTTCTGTCAGCGCCATCAGCGGGCATTTCCGACTCTGCCAAGGGGTGCTGTCTGGGGACCATCCTGTCCAGTGGGGGTGCATCACTTGGCCTGTGTGTTTTCATCGTCCCCGAAAACGGTGGGTTCTTGTTCTTGCGTCCCCACGTGCAGTTGTGCGTTGTAGCCTTGACGTCGTGATACTGTGATGGCGAGTGCCAGTCTGGACACTCAGCGTTCTAGAACCCTCCAGAGGCCAGATCCTGAATTATAAGTGTAAAGATTACTGCTTTTGGACAAAAGAGCCCAGTCTCTACCCACTGCTGCTCATCCACAAAAGACACGAGGCAAGCAGCCTCAGAGATGCCCCTTCGTCACCTGGACAGGAGCAGACCTGCAAGGTGTTTCTCATGGGAAACGCCCCCTGCACTTTGGCTGGTTTTGTGACGGTCCCATCGAGTGTGATGCAGTATAATCTTTTTCTTAAAACAGATCAGCAAAGCTGTAACGCTGGTAGGTTTCAGCAGAAGCGTCCCACGCAAACTCCTGTGCCTTGGTGGTCCCACGCCAGGCATACACGACTATTCCAGCATAATGCGTTGAAAACTGAAGCCCATTTTCAGTTTTGTTCCTAAAGTAAGCCATTGTTTAACAGTAAAAATTCATCATCTCCTTGTACGTGTGAAGGGCAGGGTCTAAAATTAATTCCTTTTAACAAAAGACCTCTCTCAAGAGTTCTCATCATGCCCTCGAAGTCACTTTTCTATTCAGAGAGGTGCGGGGGAGACGCGAGTGTGTCAGGAGTCACCAGGGCCTGTCTCGGAACGTTGATAAGTCACGGAGAAGAAGGTAAAATTTGATTCCGTGCAGAGTGGGCTGCCCTGCCCGGCGGAGGGACTCGGAGGGGCTGCATCGGGGGCAGTGCAGGCGGCCTGTGCGGTCACTGGCGACTTCGTGGTCTTGACTGCAAACCCGAGTCGTCTCTAAGGCCAGAGTGCGTTCTGGTACCAGTCGAGCCGTGTCACCGCGGCAGTCGGCGTAGGCGTTTGTGTCAGGTGGTGAGTGGTCTGCAGCCGTGTCACCGTGGCAGTCAGCGTAGGTGTGGGCGTCTGCGTCAGGTGGTGGGTGGTCTGCAGCCGTGTCACCGTGGCAGTCAGCATAGGTGTGGGCGTCTGCATCAGGTGGTGAGTGGTCTGCAGCCGTGTCACCGTGGCAGTCAGCATAGGTGTGGGCGTCTGCGTCAGGTGGTGGGTGGTCCGCAGTTCCCCCACTGAGTCCCTGACGCTGTCTCCGCCCAGACCAGGGGGATGAAGGATTATCTTTGCCAGCTGGTCATTAAGTGCTGCTATACTGACTTATTTTGAAAACTTACCTTACCAGAAAATTTTAAACTCACTGTTTAAGAATAGTACAGTGAACAGCCGTGTGCACATAATCTCTAGCTCGATGCTGCAGTTTACCATTTTGCCATATACTGCTTTTCTCTCTGTCCCCTCCCCCCACCACCACCACTTTGTATATTTCATGACAGTGACAAGTCTGGGCCAGCTGCATCACAGAAGGTCCAGCAGTCCGGGTGTGTCTTACTGTGGTCTCACGCTCAGGTTCCTGATACTATCTTTGGCAATAAAAATGTGAGGTGGTAGTGTGCGACTTCCCATTGCATCACCCCAGGAGACCCAAGCGTCTGTTAGTCCCTCACCGGTGATGCTGGGTTTGACCGCTGGGCAGAGATGCCACCGCACGTAATGGTGCCTCTTTCTCTTTGAACTAACGAGTGATGGGGACGGCACCGAGACAGTGTGCATTCCTGTTGGCAGCAGCCTCTTCTCGTTGGTCTTAGCGCCTCCAATGCCTGTGTCAGTTCTCGCCCTGGTGACGCCGTGGTGACGGCCCAGCCATGACCGTCTAATTCTGCCCCCCTTTGTTTTAGCGTGACTGTGGACTTAGGAGGGGACTTTTATTAGTTGCGCAATAATCCATCGCCATCGTTCTGTTTGAGGGTGTCACCTTCAGCCTCATCGTTCTTTGAGCACTTACTTGTTGCTTTGGGCATGAGTTTGCAGGCTCAGCTGCTGCTTCCCCACCCGCTCCCCAGGATCAGCCTCTTCTGCAGCAAACCCAGCTCCTTCGGAGAGTATTTGGAAATCGAGATCTGAGCATATTGAATCTTTTTTAAGAGTAAAATTTGTAAGACTGTTGGGCCAAACCGTATGAGAGCACACGTCAGCAGGGTGAAAACAGAAGGTTCTTTTGGGATTGGCCAACGAATTCCTGCTCTTAGCACTGCACTCGGCATGGCAGTCAGCGACAGGACTGTGCTGTGGCTCCGGCGTTTACCTGCCTTGTTGGTTCAGGGTCGACTCTGATTTTCGAAGGATGCATCTCATGATACCCTAGAGCAACCACCAAAAAAGTAGCTAAAAAGCCAACAGGATATAGAATAGACCCTTAAAAATGCTTTATTAACTCAAAGCAGAAGAGTGGGGAGGAGAGGTAGAGGATGAACGCGTGGTTGGCTGGAAAGCGGGATGCAGACTTCACGCCGTCCGTGCAGGAAATCCCGTTAGGCAACTCGGCTGGCCAAGAGGCAGCGGTCTGCGCCGGCATCAGAAGCGACACCTGCAGCCTGCTGCTTGTGAGAGGCGCTTCGGGTATAAACACACAGGCGCCATACGGTGCCAGCAAGAAGGAAGGCGGCATGGCCCCATCAGCGGGGGACAGTGTGGGCCGGAAGTGCCAGACATAACGATTATGGGCCATCTCAGAGTGACCGAGGGGTCAGTCCTTCATGAGGACGTGAGTTTTAAAACGAGTACATGGGATGAAAGAGCTTAACATGCTTGAAGCACAAACTGACAAGATTGAAGGAGCGGGTTGAGAACAAAAGCCTGCGGATCCAGAAAATGCGAACAGCGCTGCCAGCCAGCCGAGCGCCACAGCCCACAGCTGGAGAACGCACATCCTCCTGCGCGCGAGACAGTCAGAGGCTGGACAGAGCCCTGTGCCACCCAGTAGCGTCTCGGAGCGTCCCCAGGATGCGGGGGATGCGGGGCGTGCTCCCTTACCACGTGGCAGTGAGTGTAACTGTAAGGAGACGTAGAAAACCCTCAAACGTTTGGAGTCACCACATTTTTAAATTGCCCGTGGATCAAAGAAGAAATCACAGAAGAAAGAAAATGTTTTGAAATAAACGATAATGAAAATATAACATTGACATCTCGGGCTGGGGGAGCTGTGCTCAGACCGAGTGAGTCAGTAGCTTTATGTGTTTATGCAAAGAAGAAAGATGTAAGAACAGTAACTTACTCTTCTGTCTTGAGAAGCTGGAAAAAGAAGAACAAATTGAACCCGAAAGACATAGAAGCAAGGAAATAGTAAAAACACCAGAAATCAACAGAGAACAGGGAAATAGTAAAACCAAAGATGGTTCTTTAAAAATGATTAAAAATTTGATAAATCTTTATTTACATTGATCAAGAACGAGGGCCTACAGATATTACAAGGGCAGTGGAAATAAATCTTGTTTTGGATAATTTACAACTTAGGTGAAATGGACATCAGTCAATTCCCGCAGCCTTCAAGACAGAAGGGCACCGGTTTATAGACACCCCTGAAAGAAAACAGGAGAGGGAGAGCGCGCTGCCCAGCCCTCCTCAGGCGGCCGTCACAGCCAACCCCCGAAGCAGATGGGCAGCACGTGCGGGGTGGCGGGCGTGGAGTGTGTGCACGGGCCTGTGCCCTGGAGGACATAGAGGAGCCCTTAAAGCGTTAGCTGACTCGAGTCTAGCGGTTTATGGAAAGGGCGGTAGGTACATCGTGGCCAGCTGGGGTTTCCCTCGGGAGTCCGGGGCTCCTTGGCGGTCAGAACCAGCTGTCGCGATTCACTGCATTCACAGGGTAAGTGGGGAAAGTCGTGTGGCAGCTCTGTGGATGCGGAGGAAGCATTTGACACAGTTCATCACTCCTCAAACAAGAAAGGAGGCAGAGCTTTTGGCAAACGCGCGAGGGAGAGCCGGGCGCTCTTCCCGGGGGCCGAGCGGGGCCGACGGGCCGCCGGTTCGTGCCACGGCAGCGAGGCAGAGAGCTAAAATGCCTAAAGTTGGAAAGGAAAAACTAAACTGTCTTTTTTACATAATTATGTAAACTCTTAAGGCATCTCTTAAGTCTATTTCTGAGTGCTAGGCCAGGACAATTGAAAAATGAAGTTAAAAACAATACCATTCGTGCCAATACCAAAAAAAACCCCACTTCGGGATAAATATGAAGAAACACGTGGAAGACTCTGTTCACTGAAAACCACGAGATGTTTCAGAGAAACATGTAAGGAAACAAACACGGGAGACAGCCCGCATTCTTGGGCTGGACGGCGGGGTGTCGCTCAGGCCGGTGTCCCCACATGGCTCTGCAGATGCCCTGCATCCCGGGGACAGTTCCCACGGCTTCTCACGGGCCTAGGCAAACAGCCTGTGACCCGTGTGGCCCTGCCAAGGGCCAGCGCAGCCCAAACAGCCTCGAGACATGAGGCTGGGGGACGGTTCCTAGCGGTGCGAGACTCCCCAGAACGCCACAGCAGCAGAGACGGCGTGCGGTGGGTGCCTCGGAGTCAAAGAGGCCAAAGCCATCAGTGAGGGAAGTGCTCAGAATGCGCCTGACGGCGGAACACGCAGGCCTGACGCCCGAGCCCAAGGCCCATGCGGGCCGGGACCCCAGCGTGAAAACCGGAGAGCACCACCACCACCTCGGGGTGGCGAAGGTGCCTGAGGGTATGGAAACCCCACACAGAGAAGAAATAATAAGCCTGATTTCTGTGAAGTTGAAAGCTCCACACAAAAGGCACAATTGCACAATTAAGAAGTGGCCAGGCAGGCCCCAGACCGGGAGAAGCAGTGGCCATATGTGATTACGACGGGGGCCGGTGGCTGGGAGGACCTTCCGTGGAAGAATGTACTGAAATAAACACCCGTCAGACAGCACCCGGAAAGGCACTCGGCGTCTCCCAGGGGAACGCGGTTCAGAACCCCAAGATGCTAGGCTGAAAACGGCAGCGGCGCTGGGCAGCCACCACGGTTTCCCGCGGCGTGGATGCTGCCGCGCGTCCCAGGAGCTGTCTGTGGTTCCCCGATCCCGTGGGGCGTCGGGGAGCAAGTCCTCCTCCGACTCATGCACGATTCCTTAAGCACAGGCTCGGAGCGTGTGGTCCCGTGAGATCGCACCGCGGCGGGCCGGAGCCTGCGGGGCGCGGGCAGCCACAGGGGCGCGGGCCAAATGGCGGGATCCCGGGCGTGCGCCCTGGACTGCGCGCCTGCCTGGACATCAAGGTGCCCAGAATGGCAAGGGGGGCTGGGACCTGCGTGACGTGGACGTGCAGGCCTCGGCGACGGGTCACAGCAGGGAGGCGCTGACATGAGCCACGGCACAACAGCACGCGTTCGCTTTGTGAGCGTTCTAGGTACAGGCGACGCGCGGGGGCGGCGGGCCCTGCGGACTGGATTCGGCGCCCCTGCGGAGGAGAGCGCGCATGCGGGCGGAAGTGTCCCCGCCCGGAAGCCGGGCCTCAGGGCCGCCCGCGCCCTTGGCTGAGCATGCTTTCTTTCCAGAAGCCCCCACGAGAAGAAGAAGAAGAGGCGATCCCGGTCACGCACTGCAGCCAAGGCCGGGTCCCGGCCAGCATCCCCGAGCAAGCAGGCCGCGCGCCGGCACTCGGCCCACTCGGCCAGCATCTCTCCCGTGGAGAGCCGGGGCTCCAGCCAGGAGCGCTCCAGGTAAGCGGCCTGGCCAGGGCCCTGCGCCCCACCCGCTCCCTTGTCCCTGGGAGCTGAGGGCGGACACCGCCTGGAAGCAGAAGCCACCTCCATCCCTGGGCGGAGACGGTCGGGGCGGCCTCTGCCCGCTGGGATTCCCAGTGCGGCAGATGGGAGGGCAGGAGTTGCACTTCCGCTGGAGACAGGTGTCAGATGCCAGGGAGGAGACGCCCCGCCCCACCCCGCCGCTCCTCCATGTGACAGCAGCCGCCCTCCAAACTGCACTTCCCAGCCCTCCCATCCGCACGGTGCCCCTTTGTCCTCACAGGGCATCTGGGGAGGGCACGGGCACTGGGGTCCACTGTGGCAGGACCCCGACCTCACACCGACTCACACCAGGCCACAGCAGGTGGGCCAAACTGTCACTTTCTGACTGAACAGCTGCGGTGACACCCATGTCCCCACTGACTGTGACCTGGTCACCCTGGTCAGCAGCGTAGACGCAGCCATCCCTGCACTAGCGAGGGTGGCTCCCGCTGGCGGCCGCGGTGGTTGTGGGGGTGTTTGCAGATGTCCCGCTTCCTACACCAGACCCACCCGCCATCCCTCGGCCGGAGCAGGGGTCGGGGGGTCTCAGCATAGGTATTCTGCAATGAAAGTATAAATTAGGAATTTAGTGTTCATAGAAAATGGTATTAAGAAGTTATACCAATTTAGACCCTCAAAACAAGTTGCTCCATAATTTCAACTAGGCAACTTAAGGAAATTCCTGTTTGGAAAAAAAAAAAGACCGGGGTCGGGGGGTCTCTGGGAGTTGTCCCTCCTGTTGCACCGTCTCTAGTGTTTTAAGCCCTCGCCCTCTCCCGGTATCAGGGGCGTTTCTCAGGAAAAGGACGGCCAGATCTCCTCAGCGATCGTGTCTTCCGTCCAGAGCAAGATAACCCAGGTAAGGGGGGCCCTCGGCCTGCCCCGCCCCTCACCCGCACCGTCGGGGCCTGGGCCGCTCACCCGTGGGGCTGGAGCCGGCATGCACCCAGCCGTGGGGGGTCTGCAACGGAACCCCGTGCCAGCCCGCACACTCCCCAAGTCCCAGCGGGGAGCTCACAGAACCCGCGTCTCCACCCACAGGACCTCATGGCCAAAGTCAGAGCGATGCTCGCAGCTTCCAAAAACATGCAGACCAGTGCCTCCTGAGACCGCGCTGCTCGGCGGGCCTGGCCGGGGCCAGAAGCTCGCTTCTGCGGGGACCTCGGCACCGTGCGGGTCTCCGGGGCGTCCATGGACAACGGTGGTTTTGTAAATTTATTGTAGATGACATTTTCAGCTTCAGATTTTTGACCAGCAGTCTCTTATCTGTATATTTGTAAATAATATCATGTTTCTGTGAAAATGTATTATCAAATAAAATGGGAGGAAAACACCTTTTTTAGCTAGCCACTGTGGGCCGTTTCTTTTTTCTGTGCCTTCTGAGTGTGTCTTCACTGCCTGCCGTCTGTCGTGGGGTAGCATGCTCTGTCACGTGGACAGCGGTGGGGCCGGGCTTGGCATCGCCCGGGCACTAGGCCGTCTGTGGGTTTTCCTTCGCATCCACGGCGTCCTCAGACCTCGGATGGATCCACCACGGATGGATCGTGCCAAACAACCGTTCCCCGCCGACTCCCGGGGCTGCAGTGACCTTGTGACCCTGCGGGTTCAGCCACGTGGCGGGCAAGGATCAGCAGTGCGTGTGCCATGCCATGCCAGCGCCTAGAGCCCCTCTGTGCCCGCAGAGTCCGTTTGCAGTTCTGCTGGGTCACCAGGACCACGGTGGGACTTCTCGGTTTCCCTGTGTAGAAAGCCGACCCTTTCGGGAGGCCCTGGGGGGTGGGAGCTGAGAGGCGGGCCTGGCCAGGGCCGTGCTCGGGTGCAGAGCTGCCCGGGAAGCTGGCCACCGGCTCTCCTGCAGATGTGTGCGTGTGCACATCCGATCCGTCCTCGGCACCTGCCGCACGTGGTTTGACGTGTTCACCTTTGAGACGGCGCCACGTCAGCAGTTAGGGACCCACCTCACCCTCTAACAACCCTCACTGTCCAGTTGACAAACGCCCGGGGCGTACACACACCACACGCCTGCCTGTCGAGGCACCTCCTGGAGTCTCCTGCCACTTGGTCACACGTGGCTCAGTCCCCGGCCCCAGTGACGGCCGGCCACACTCACTGTCCCCAAGCAGCTTGTCTCTGCCCAGCAGTACCACTGAGTCTGCAGAAGGCGCCCCGGGCCGCAAGGTGCGGATGCTGTAACCTTGACGCGGGAGCCCCTCCGTGAAGGGTTCCTGCGGATGGAAGGCGAGGCCTCCGCCAGCACCGGACGCCGCGGGCCGGACATTCCCACCTCTGCCGAGTCGGACGGACGGACGGACGGCTCTCACTGACTTCTCGCAGCACGAGTGAGGCGGCAGCAAACGTGGTCACGAGCCACCTGTATTTCCGCAAAGCGACCTTGCCCTTCGGCTGTTTGTGCTGTCGAGTTTCTTCCTGCATCATGAGAACTCTGCATATTAAAGAGATGAGCTTTTTCCGTGTTATTCATTTTACAAATAATTCTCCCGATTTGACTTTTTCTTTATGGTTGGCTTTTACAAGCAGAAATTGCTTTTTTCTGTAGTCGTCCACTATTCTCACGGCTTCTGGGACCCGTGCCTTAGCGGTGGAGACTGTGCACTCCCGGTCTGCGGGCAGGCTGTGTAGGCTTTTGTTCTCACTGGGAAGGATCTGGGTGCAACCAGAAACGAGTCCAGATGGGGAAGTGGCTACGGGGACCGAGCACCAGCAGGAGGCCATCGAGCGCCCTGGGTGGCTGCTGCCGAGCTTGTCCCCCCAAGATGTGGCTGTGGTGTAAACTGGCAGCGTTGGGCACACGGTCCATCAGACCCCCACTCGGCTGAAGCGCTGGGCGTTTGCAGCTGGGGCGATGTCACTCGGCCTCATGGAGCCCTCTCTGAGGGGTCCTGGGAGCGGCAGGTGACATTCTAGGGGCAAGCTCTAGAGAGCTTGGCAGGTCACAGACATGGCGCAGGTGTGCTGCTTGGGGTCCACGAGACCAGGGACCACCGTCACCACCACGGGCGACAGAGGGTCGACCCCTCAGCCCTGTGGCATGCGGGGGGATCGGTGTCGGTCCCCACGCCCCCTCGGCTGCCGGACCCTTGGTTCACACAGCATGCTCAACTCCCTGCCACTAGAAATGCTGGGAAATGGGACTTCACCCCATGTGTGACATGTTTGTCATCCCACACTACGCGTGACCCTCCCGCCGGGTTTGGCCCCGTGGTGGAGCACCCAATCGGGCCCTGGATGCCTGCCGTGCCCCCGTGTCACAGAGGGCACTGCCATCGGCGCCTCGATGGTGAGCCGTCGCGAAGGTTCTTTGCTCCTGGCCCCTTCGCAGCGCTCCTACGGGTCGGCTCCGGGCCCTACGCGCTGATCACGCTCCGAGGCCACTGTCTCGGCAAAAGTCGCTTCTGAGCCTCGAGCCCAGGCTGTGCTGCTCAGACCATGTGCCCACGCTCGGATGTCACCTGCGACCCAGTCATTAAACGCCGTGACCTCATGTGAGCTGTGAGGGCCCAGCTGCTGTGCCAGATTCTGGGAACACAGGGACAGGGACGAGGCGAGAACTGACGGGGGTGGCGTGGGAAGGCTGGAGGCTCCGCCCGTGGGCTCCCCACAGGCCTCCGCAACGCTGGGGTTCATCCGTGCTGCGTAGGTGATTCATCCCCGGGGTGACTCCCGCTTTGTGTGCACCCTGCCAAGTTCCATCTCACAGAGAGAAGCAAATGGAAACGCACGCACCCCCCGCCGCCCGCGTGCACGTCTGTTCAGAAAGCGGGGTGCGCCTACCGCCGCGAACGCGTTTGCCGTCACCGCACACCCACGTCTGCACGCAGGGAGCTCCTGTGTTCCTTATAAGTGAGGACAGCAGAGAACGTCCCCAGATGCCAGCACCGGCTGTCACCACCTGACACTGGGAAGGAGCATCTGTCTCAACCCTCGGACGTGAGTCGGCACACGGCACACACCTCTCCCTCCGCCGACCAAGGAGGCCCCGGCAGCAACACGCACACGGGGCCGGCTCTGGCTTCTGCTTCCACCTGCCGGTAAGGGCGCCGGGGCCCCTGGAGGAACACCTGGTCCCAGGGGCGCCCGGAGCGCCTCGCGAGGCTGGGAGGGAGGGGTGTGCGCCGACGCCCAACCACAAAGGCCCCCGTGGAGGGGACCCCGGGCGAACCGAACAGGCCGCCCAGGCGAAGCGGGGACACTCGGCAACTAAGTAAGTCGTGTCACACTGGGCTGTGCCCCGAAGCCTAAGTGCCCGTGAGCTCACACGGACACAGGTAAATGTAAATAAATGCCGGCGCGGACACTCCTGGGCACGGGCGCGGCCCCGCCCCGCCAGCTGGGCGGCTTCCCTCTGCGAGGACCGTGGGGACGCGGCGGGATCTGGGCGGCGGGGACCCGCAGACCCGCTTTGGCCGGGTGACCAAGGTCGACGCCAGCGGTGACGCGTCATGCCAACAGCAGGTCTCTGGACACAACAGGACGAGAAGGACACGTCGCCTCTGCAAACCCATCACCCCAGTGCGACCACCTGACTGGGCTCTTCCCAAAGTCAAGGGCATCAAAACAAGGACAGTCTGAGAAAGGTCAGCCAGGAAAGAGCCAAGGAGGCAAAGCGACGGATCGTGAGGCCCTGGGACAGGAAAGGCTTTCGGGGAACAGGAAGTCCGGCAGCGTGGCCGCCAGCGCTCGACAGCCTGTCGCTATTGGAGCATTTTGGTGACAGACGTGAGACCCCGATAGAGGAAAGTGCACCGTGCGAGGGACCTGGGAGCTTTCTAGACCATCTTTACAGTTTTCCGTCGATGCGAAACTGTTGTCATTTTATTAAAAAGGAAAAAGAAACTCAAACGCAGAAGCAATGCCTTCTCCAGCCGTGACCTGGGAGCGCCTGTTGGTGTGGCCAGCGTGGAGGACGGGCACGTGGCCTGCTGGGCCCTCGTGGCCTAGGTGACACGCAGGTCACACGTGGTCGAGCGGCGTCCCTGGCAGACCTCTCGCGCTCCCAGCCTGCCGTCCGACCTCCAGGTGTCCTGGACGGAGAGTGGACAGCGCCCTCCACAGCAGGCAGCTGAAACCAGGGAACCGACAGTGCCCAAAGGAAACGTTTGTGGGCTTCGGCAAGGCCCAGACGAGAGGTTCATCTCTCTCCCGTTGCCCGTAACGAGCTTGTGAGGACATGCCAGGCTGCTCTAAAACACCCTGATGGCAGTGCTGGTGGCCTGGGCTTCGGGGCTGACGGCCACTCCACCATGTACTCGGGGCGGGGAGGGGCGATGGCGGGGAGTTTGGGGCACTCGGGGTTGCCGGCCGGAGGCATGTCTGTTGCTGATAACTGAGTGCCCGGAGCAGGGAGTGACCAGGCCCAAACCCGGGAGGGACAGCAAGACCCCGCTTTGAGGTGAGACCGTAGGGGACAGGTGAGAACACGGGGTGGCAGCTGGTGACATTGCCAGGAGGCAAAACAAGCAGGTGGGGCAAGGAGGCGTCTCAAACCCATGTGAGGGGAGGCTGTGGCCCCACTGCTTCGGGAGCGGCCTGGAGGAAGGGAGCTGGTGTGACCAACCGGCCACCAGCGTGGGCTGGGGACATCGGGAGTTGGTCCTCTCCGTTCTGGAGGTGGGGGCCTCCTAGGACTGCCCCGGGTCCCGTGGCCTTCATGTGTTTCTCCCCTTCCTTCCCTCCCAGGACGCTGGCCACTGGGTCCAGGGCCCACGGGGTCACACGGGGGAGCTAACCTTGAGACTCTCCTTTTACTTCATCTGCCAGGACCCTTTGTGGGTGGATGTGAGTGCGAGGGACACCACATCCCCCTGCCGGGGCCATTGGAGCAGCTTCAGCTTCTAGGATGCTCGGCCAGGAGGCTGCAGAACCAGCCACGCAGCCCCCTCGCCGGGGCGCCCGCCCCCCCGGGTCCCCCCTGGACCATGTGTCTGATGGGCCCCTAGGGCAAGGACCTAAGCCTGAGTCGCCTCTATACCTGGGGCAGGGACCTCAGCCTGAGTCCCCCCTGTGCCATGTCTGACAGGCACCCAGCAGGGACCTCGGCCGGGGTCCAAGAGTGCCCTCGTGGCAAGCTGGAGCAAACCACACACGATGGGCCGTGTTTGCTGGGCAGCACTTGCTCGTGTGGCCACACCTGGTGACGGGCAGGACCTGGGCTTGTGCCCCAGCAGCTGGCCCCCACGCAGCCGGCCGAGCAGCGCTGTCACGAGCCTGGCTCCTCCGCCCCGGTCCCCGGGTGCCTTCTCCCCTGCGCTAAGCTGTGGCTCACGCCCCACAGGACTCACCCTCTCACACGCTTCGGCAGTGGCTCTGGCACTCGTGGATGTGCAAC